GTCTTTGAGCTATAAAGTCATGTTGTCTGTGAATAGGGACAGTTTGACTTCTTCCTTACCTATTTGTATTACTTTTATTTCTTCTTCCTGTCTTATAGCTCTGGCTAGGAATTTCAAGACTATGTTAAATAGTAGTGGGTAGAGTGGGCACCCTTGTCTTGTTCCTGACTTTAAGGGAAATGGTTTGTTTTCCCCCATTTAGTATTATGTTGGTTACAGGCTTGTCATATATAGTCTTTATTATGTTGAGGTACATTCCTTCCATTCCTAGTTTCATCAGAGCTTTCATCATGAAATGGTGTTGAATTTTATCCTATAGCATCATTTTAATCATGCCTCTTACTGTACATTTTCAGATGTCTCTGCCCACCCACCCAATTCTGTAGACAGCTTTAGTCTGATTCCATCTCACTTTCCATTCTTATTCCATAGTACTCTCTTTCCTATACACCATTATTACCACCTACAGTGGAAATCTGTTGATTTTGCTGGCCAGGTATCCATTTTCCTCTTCTTTAAAGCACCAGTTCCTTAATTTCCTTCTGAGGACCACCTTACTCCCCTATTGAAGGGGACGATCTCAAAAGATCTTCTACAGTAGTGGAAAACCCAAAGAAACACTAATTAAAGGTTTACTTAGCAGTTTTGTGTCAACATTAATGTCCTGGTTTTCATAAATGTACCATGATTATGTAGGAGGTTAATGCTGGGGAAAGCTGTGTAATCGGGTAAACAGAAACTGTAATGAGGTAGGCTAAGAAGAGAAAAAAACTCAGTACTCTTAAACCTATACAACTTAACATACTGTATTTCAGATTGAGCTTCTCTCTCTCTGTGTCTCTCTCTCTCGCTCTACCTCCTTTTCAATTACAAATATGTACAAAGCTACCCACCATCCTAGCCCAGGAATAGCCCAAACCTCTCCCTACTCACTGATTCTTAGTGATTAAAAATGCCATTTCTCCATGTGTGTGTGCTGCACACACAAGTTAGCAAAGGTTTTTTATCAAACATAAATCATGTTTAATACTAGACAAAATTAAATGAATTATGCCATGCCAATTTTTGACAAACCACACAAAAAATAAGCACATATCTAGGAAAGATCAAATGATAAATTCATATACCATCAATTTTTCCTAAATAAATTTTGTTTCATACAAGTATCCATAATAGACTTTTTCCCAATTCTGTATAAAAGTTTATGAAACTTGCCTCCTAAGCCATCATTCCATTATTAAACTCTTACACGCAAATCATGACAAAAAATTCCTAACTAGCAAAGGTTTTTTTTAAAAATTCCTTGAAACAAAGAGAACTCTTTTTCTCTCTCTGCTTCTGGCTTCCACCTGGCCTACCATTCCTTTCATAACTCCTTTCCTTAATCTTTAATAAGCTTTTATTATCACCTTCACTACATATCCTGCCTGGATGCATCCACGTAGGATATAAGAATCTAGAATTTTCTGTTCACCAGCAACCACAACAGCACCACTATTTCAACTGTTCTGAAAGTCTAAAATTATTTCAAAATAAGTTTAATTAAAGAAAAATAAAGTGCAAAAAAAAAGTTGTCTGATAAGCAAGGTGAAGGTAATTGGATAAGTGGGTAAGCCAAAAACACTCTCCCAGGAGACTGAATCCTGAGTGATTGAATCCTAAGACAGAAAACAATAGGCACCAGCTAATGACCACAACGGTACCTTGAAATAATTGTCCCTTAGAGCCTTTCACCAGGTTCCCCGAAGCTGCCTTAGCCTCTCATATTGCTGAAGTCTCACTCTTTAAGCTTTTCCTTCAATTCTGTGATCTACATTTGACTTTCATGTAATACTGTTTTCATAAACTGGATAGCTCCTTACTGGAGCATTAAGCACTCCTGAGAGGGGTCCTACTCACCAGACATGCCCTCCATCCTCCAAATCCTCAGTGCTGCCCTCATGAGCATAGTCCTGCCACTCCCTGTCAAAGCAAGTCTCCTCTACTTGGCACAGAGTTTTCCAGAGCCATGCTTTCCACATGTCAGACATAATTACATATTGATGGACTAAATTTGTTTAATGTTCTCAATTCATCACCCAGATGTTTGAATTTTCTATAACGGTCATTTAGTTATTGAAAGTCACAGTAGACCCAAGTCATTTGCATTGAAAAGACTTCATGTGCAGAGGCCATAACAGAAAAGACTGGTAAATTTGCATCTGTCTTTTAACTTTACTTGACAAAAACCATCCAAAGCAAACTCAAAAAGATAAACTCACAAACTGAGAAGATGCACTTTGAAACACTGAAAAAGACAATTCCCTAACAATTCTTGTATAATAATTCAATAGAAAACTAAGCAATTCCCAGAAAAAGAAATACAAATAGCTCTTAAGTGTATGAAAACATATTCACAAAAAAACTACGCAACAGATCTTAAACAGATGAGAACATGGTCAATTTGTACATTGTAGGAGAAACATAAATTAAAACCATCCAGAGACTGGGAGCCAGGGGCTCATGCCTGTAGTCCTAGTTACTTAGGTGGCAGAGATCAGGAAGATTGCAGTTCAAAGCCAGTTCAGGCAAAGTTCCCACAATCATATCTCAAAAAAAACAGTACAAAAAAGGGCCGGTGGAGTGGCTTAAATGCTAGAGTGCCTGCCTACCAAGCATGAGGCCCTGAATTTGAACACCAGTACCACCCCAAAAAGAAAAAGAAAGTCAACTTGGAATGGGGGATGGCTCAAGTGCTAGGTTACTTGTCTAGCAACCATGAGGCCCTGAGTTCAAACTCTAGAACCATCAGAAAAAAAAGAGAAAGAGAAAGTCAACTTGGGTTGGGGTATGGCTCAAGTGCTATCGTGCTTACCTAGCAAGTGTGAGGCCCTGCGTTCAAACTCTAGTACTGCCAAAAAAATAAATTAGAGGATATTTGCTCTGCCTGTATCTTATTGCTGTGCTCTTGATATTTAAGGTTGCTGGACAAGTTATCACTTGTTACTATTAATTGTGCATATGTGTATTAGTTTTCTATGTTGCCATAACAAGTACCACACACTTAGCTAAGCAACACAAATTTATTGTCTTAGTTCTACAACTCAGCAGTACAACACAGGTCCAGTCTTACAAAGCTAAAATCACAGTGTTAACACATACAGCATTTCTGGATGTGCTAGAGGAAGACCCGTGTCTGTCTCACTTGGGTTGTTAAATGAATCCAGTTCCTTGTGATTGTAGGACTGAGATGCATTTCCTTCATGTTAGCTGAGTTATCACAGAAGCCTGGCCTCTCCTATCCAACTTCTTGATTTGTGTCCCCTTTTCCATCTTCAGATCCAGCGATGGCAGGCTGAAGCCCTCTCAAGTTCCAAATCTGTCCTCTTTCTTCTGATTCATCTCTCTGACCTCCTCAAATACCTCCTTTTTCCACTTTGTAACATTCAGGTGAATAGGATGGATTCACTCTGACAATCCAGGAAAAACTCTCTCCCTCAAGGTCCTTAATTTTATCACATCTGCAAAGTCCTTTGGCCTTGTGAGGTCTCTTCTCACAGGTTCCAAGATTACAGTGAGGACTGGGGAGAAGAGCATGATCTTTCTACCTGATCTTCACATTTTAAAGATTCCCACTCAGGAGTCATTTGACATTAAAACTTTCATGTTAGTTATTGCCACATTCAGATATAATTAATTTTTCAAAGTACTTCAAACATCTCATAACTACTAATTATTACTACTAATAACCATGATCTGAAGGCACAAAATAAAGTACAGATACTTTATGGCACTAAAGCCCCAGGACACAAAAGTCAATATGCCAAGTTTCAGCCACTGTGTCTAGCACTGACAGAGCTGAGTAATAACACCTCATACTTAAATAGCATGTCATGCTTTTACAAGCTCTCTTGCACTCATTACCTCATTTGTGCTTTAGAATATTCCTGGAAGGCACAAAAAATTGAACAAACCTATCATTTCCTTTTTACAGATGAGAAATGTAACTTCAGAAAGACTGAACACTTATTCAACTATGGTAACCACTTTCAAGTGAGCCAGGAATAGTGGCTCACCTATAAGCCTAGTTACTCAGGAAGCAGAGATTGGGAGGTTTAAGGCCTGCCCAGGTAAAATGTTTGCAAGACTCCATCTCAATGAAAAAGTTGGGCATGGTGCTGTGTATCTGTGTTCCCAGCTATGCAGGAAACATAAATAGGAGGATGGTGTTTCAGACTTGTACCAGCATAAATGGAGGACCCTATCTAAAAAATAACTAGAGCAAAAAAGGGCTGGGGCATGGCTCAAGTGATAGAGCACCTGCATAGCAAGTGAAAGGCCCAGTACCACCAAAAAAAAAAAAAAAAAAAAAAAAGAATTTTAGAAAGAAAAAAAAAGTGACATGTAAGCAAGGGGGACACTGGGACTAACATGATCCTACACAGTGGAAAGGTTAAAGGTTCCGTTTGAAGAGAACCAGGAATTAAGCACTTTTTCTCCAGTGTTTTCCACATCATAAAGCTATGGTTCCTCTATGATGTATAAAAACCTCTCTACAGACAGGAGGTACTAAAGGCATTCTAAGCCTGGCAGATCATGCTCCTTTGAGTAGGGCATGGCACCTACAGATATTATATCAATAATGACCACACACAGAATGCAGTCCTTTATCCCTTTGGATTATATTCTGACTTAGCATAGATTCTGCAAGTTTCATGATCCATGATTCTATAGTTCTTCCCATCCTGTGTTTCTGAAGGCTGTCACACAAAATGAGTTTCATGATCCATGATTCTATAGTTCTTCCCATCCTGTGTTTCTGAAGGCTGTCACACAAAATGAGTTTCATGATCCATGATTCTATAGTTCTTCCCATCCTGTGTTTCTGAAGGCTGTCACACAAAATGAGTTTCATGATCCATGATTCTATAGTTCTTCCCATCCTGTGTTTCTGAAGGCTGTCACACAAAATGAGAAAATGACTGCTTCTCAGTATCTCTCCCACTCTCCTCCCTCTTTACCTTCCGGCTCCTGTCAGGGACACAGGATGGTCAATCAGATATCTGAATTTATTCCTTCGAACAGGGTGCTGCCAGACATGGTCTACAGTACGTGGAAGGGTACCCTAGAAAAAAAGGGAAATACATGAATTTCCAGCAGAGGGCACTCTAGTCAAATGAAATTTAGTCTATTTTTTTTTTAAATTTCATTTATTTTATTGCTTTTACATTTACTTACATGTGTATACATTATTTGGGCCACCTCCTCCCACCCCCAGGCTTCCAGGCAGAACCTGTTCCGCCCTCTTGTTCTCCGATTTTGTTGAAAACATATGAGATAATAAGAAAAACATAGCATTTTTGCTAGTTTGAGATAAAGATAGCTATACAGAGAGATTCCTAGTGTTGTTTCCATGTACAAGTGTATTACAACCCATATTGGTTCTTCGCTACCAGACCTCTTCACTATTTCCTAGTCCCCTTCCCATAGTAGCTTCTGTTAATTTTAAATTACTATATTCACTTTTATACAGCGAACATATCAACCACATTCAAGTTTTAGGTTTCATTCCCTTTCCCTATTCCTCTTGTGTGTGGTCTCCCCTTAGTGTGTGACCACGTTCAATAATATTACTGCTTTTATTTTAGGTCTATAATCCGCATATAAAGGATAACATGGGATTTTTGGTATTCTGAGCCTTCTGCGCTGTCTTACTAATTTTAAATGAGTCAAAGGCATTTGGATACTCTATAAGAAAGCAGAATTCTGCAGGGTGTAGTGACTCACTCCTGTAATACTACCAGAGACTGGGAGGACTGCAGTTCCAGGTCTGTCTACGCAAAAAGTTAGTGAGACCCCCATCTCAAACAATAGCTGGGTTTGGTGGTGTGTGCCAAACCCAGTTTAGGAAACATAAATACGAGGATCACCCTGAACAAAAAGCAAGACCCTATCCAAAAAATAACTAAAGCAAAACAGGCTGCGGGCATAGCTCAAGTGGGAGAGTGCCCACTTAGCAAGTGCAAGGCCTGGAGTTCACACCCTAATAACCACCAAAAAAAAAAAGAGAGAAAGAGAAAGAGAGAGAAAGAAAGAGAGAATTTTTATTCAATAACATGGAGAAAGATTGAAGTGAATGAAAAATAGTAAGATTAAAAGAGCAGTAAATTTACATAAAAATAGGTCAATGGAAATACTCCAGCCTTAGAAACATTCATGCAAAAGATCCGAGTTTTCACTCTAGGAAATTACTTTTTAAAAATTTAAGATTAGGCAGCAACTGGTGGCTCACACCTGTAATCCTAAATACTTGGGAGGCTGAGATTGAGAGGATTTGGATTTGGGGCCAGTCCAGACAGAGAGATCACATGACCCATCTCAGCAATAGCTGCATGCAGTGGCACACACCTGTCATCCCAAGCTTTGTGGGAGACTGAGATCAGGAGGATTGTAGCTCCAGGCCAGCCCGGGTTAAAGAAAAATTCCTAAGACCCCCATCTCAATAGGGGGAAAAAAGTTGGGCATGGTGATGCACACCTGTCATTCCAGCGTAAAATAGGAGAATCAAGGTCCAGGCTAGCCTGGGGAAAAAGCGAGACCTTATCTACAAAATAACCAGAGCATAAAGAGTTGGAGGTGTGGCTCAAGCAGTAAAGTGCCTGGCTAGCAAATGCAAAGCCCTGAATTCAAACCCCAGTCCCACCAAAAAGAAAAAGACTCTCTGGAATATACAACACATGCTCAACAAACACTTAATGAACTAGATAACAAAAAATAATGCTCCCAAGTATTACACATATGTACAGACACACCTTTGGGGTTTTTGTTTTCTTAGGAGGCAGTAAGTTTTCAGGACAGGGACCAGCATTGGCCGCATAGGTCAGAGAAAGAAGGACTTCCTCAGGGATGAATTCATTCTGAAGGGATGTAGGAAGGGATTTGGAATGATCCACCATATTTTTTTTCTCCTTTATCTCAGGAAGTCCTACGAAAGTAATGGGAAAGAAAAGCTCTTACTGCAGTGTTTTGAAAAGCCAAATGTTGCTTCTAAGACAGCCTCATCAATCTCGTCTTTCTCTAACAGGGAGAAAAAGTGTTTCTAGTGGACAAGATAGTGACAATATTTAAAATACTTGATTATCTAGTTAAGAAACATGCACTCATATTGCCTGTTTTACTCACATCACATCAAACACAGGTTCAAAAAACTCAAGTACCAAGACAAACCTGCATCATTACAAATCCAAGTTGAAAATTAAACTCACTTCACTTACTCAATTAACTGCAAAAGCTTTAAGATGAGGGAATGAATATCTGTTTTTCCTGGTATGAAAATAACAAATCTCTCCTCCAAACTGTCAGATTATTTACTAAATTACTAAATTTTTCTTATATAAATTCAGAGGTGGAAATAATTGAAATAATTATTTTAAACTCAGGAATTCTGAGGTTAGAAGGGATCTGAGCTGGGCTCAAAAAATTAAAGGGAGATTGCTCAATAGTAGAGCACTTGTATAGCACACATAAGGCCCTTGGTTTGATACCCAGTGCCAAGAAAAAAAATTAGACACAGGATTGTCAGAAATGAAGAGAATGGAACAATCTTGAGCAAACTGATCCAATAACTGCAAAACAGAGAGGTGAATTAGCTTGGCTAGGGTGGCAAGGTAACCAAGGTTGGTAGGTAGGGTTAATACCACAAAAGGCTTGGACTAGCAAGTGGCTCAAGTAGTAGAGCGCCTGCCTAGCAAGTGTGAGGCCCTGCATTCAATCCCCAGTACCAACAAATAAATAAAAAAAAATCTTTTTGAAGAGGAAAAGGCTTCTTATGAAGTCAGTGAAGTAGAATTGTGTTACCACTGTTCTTAGTCTATGCTTCTGAATTACATTAATTTCTATAAGGAGGTACTTTTGATCATCTAAAGTCCTGTTCACATTACCAAATCTTTTTCTCTTGAGACCTTGGGATGGAATCAGGGTATCAGGAGAAATCAGAAAATAATTAAAAGTAAAAAATAAAAAGGTTGCATGGGATTGAAGCAAAATCTCCCTTTCAAAAACAAGGTGAAGGTGAGATGTGGAGAGGGAGGATAAGGTTGGTTCTACTTGGTTCTTATTTACATCTGCATGTACTTGTATATGAATGAAAATCTTTAGGAATTGCTCTTTTAGAAAAATTACTAAAACCTGATACAAATAGGCATGGTGTACTAACTGAATGTGTTCACCTTATTTCCACTCTTTTTAGAAGATCCCTTAAAGTCAAAAACCAAGTACCCACACAGGTGCTGTTTCACACCTGCTTCGTTATGCAGTGGATAGCACACTGGACTTCTAGAACAATATAAAACTCATCAGCATTTGAAAAAAGTACAGTCTTTAGGTGCAAAAGTTATGGCATTTGATTTTATTTTAAAAAGTGTGTCAAGAAAACATAGCTAATTAAGATATTCTGAATCTCAGATGAAGAGAAACAGTTGTGGTGCATGCCTATAGTTCCAGCACTCGGTAGACTGAGGCCAGAGAATCATGAGTTTGAGGCCAGCCTGGGCTACATACATACTCTGTTTCATTGCCCAGAAAGGAAGGGGGTAATGGAGGGAAAATGGTGGCGAGTTCTGTCCATAGTTGTGATTATTTATGTCTGTGGGATCCTTGAAGTTTACCTCTTGCCTCCTCCTCGACCACACATACTTTTGACTTTTTGCCCTCAGGTGTTGACACGGAGTTTGGCGATGTGGAGGGAGTTTTCGGGAGAGACATCATAAAGAATGCGTCCTCTCTCTGTTTAGTAATCTGAAATATTCCTACAGAAAGTTAACTTCGAGACAAATCAGCGTGGTACTGGGGACTTTCAGGCGGCCCCGTCGTCCTGTAGGCAAAACAAAACCCGGGGCCACCGAGAGACCCGTTAATAACGCGCTTCTGTGTGGATCGGACAGTAAATCCGTACAGCACGGTTTTCCTTCTCTCGGGTCACCTCACGTGACTAAGCAGCCCGTGGGCTGGCGGGGTCGGGGCGCAGACCCACTCCGCAGGCCGACGCCGTACCCTCGAGGACTCTGCTCGCGCTCGGCGGGTCAACCCCGGGTCCTCGCCTCCCACAAGCAGTGCCCTCGCACACGACAGCTCTTCAGGCTCGGGGCGGCGTGGCAGGGCTCACATTGTTTCTATGTACCCGCAAATTGTGTTTCCCGCCCGGTATCTGGCGGCCTCGCCTTGTCTGGGAACGCCTTGCGTCGTCATAGTAACCGAGGACCCCGCGCTTTAGCAACCCTCAATAGAGGCTGTCTTCGGCGGCGCCTGCAGAGGAGGGAGACATTCGGGAAACAGTCCCTATAGTTTCTCAGTGGCTTTAAGTCACCAGATAGGCTCAGTAACAATAAAGAAGAAAAGTGTCTAATTGAGCCGTTGTCACAGAGCCCCAACAGTGTAGCGATGCCGGGGCTCCCAGCTGTGGGCCCGGCAATCGCGCATGCGCAGATGGGGTCCGGGCTTGACCCTGCCGACTCTTAACTTGTGGGAGCAGAGTTGAAGCAAGGGCGGTTTAATAAGAGTTGTATCGCCTCATCCCTCGGGGTGTGTGTGTATGTGTGTGTGTGTGTCAAACTCGGGGAATTGGATAGCCAAAACCTCTGGGCTCCGGACTGAGGATGTAATGTAGCTCAAGAGTACAGCTTCTGCCTAGCATGCAGGAGGCTCTGGGGATGAACAGAACAAAAAAAACTCAGAACACAACTACAAACTACTGGACTTCCATTAGTCAAAGCATTAGGCTTTGCTATCACATCTTCCCGAGACACACACCTTTCCGAGGAAAGGACTGCGGGCTTGATTTCCTTTTCCCCCGCCCCCCCGCCTAGAGGCAGGAGGAAAGGAGTTCTGAGCTTCTGGCGGAGCCAACCCAGGTAAAGCCTTATGTCTTCCCATTTCCGGCTCTCAGGACTGTGCAGTGAGCTCAGGCACACCTAACTCAGCGCCTAACTGCTTACCAGGCACCCAGCCTTATCAAGGCAGAGATTTAATACCAGCTAATGAATGCCGGTGGAATCCCAGCGCCTAGCTGCCTTTATCCTAGAAAATAGCTTCCAGCCGGGAAGAAAGTCATCTTACTCAGTTGTCACATTCCTTAGTGCACAGACCTTCAAAACGCTGTCCGAAAATCAGTTGGATAGTTCTTTTTGTGTTGACAGAACTATTTGCCTCCGGTTTCCAGATAAATAGCAATGACAAGTGTGGGCAAAGGGTCAAAAACAAAAGCAGAATCTCCATGGTCCCTTTTAACTTTTCTAGTCAAACTGTCGCTGGAACCAGAACTGGTTCAAACCCAGGAAGGTTCCCAGAGAACCTGAACCCATTCCCCAGGTGCAGGCACAGGGTGCCACGTTTATGGCACTGATGCCGACTTAATTTGGGGCATGATCTCAGAACAGAATTAAAGAACTAGTTATGTGAGAAGTTTGTATTAGTTTTTATTTAGAAAATTAGGAAACAAAGCATATCCCAGTAGGCTGGAGATGTGTGCACATGAGAAGTGAGCAAAGTCCCTGTGTAAGGTTTTTTTTTTTATAAAGTTCAAGCCATCTCTGCCTGCTCTTTCATTTTGCCCACCTGGCATGCTAATCATCTGCTGAGACAGCCTTCCTTTAATTATATCTTATGTTTTTAAAACTGCTAAGTTCAGGATTCCAGAGACCAAATTTCCTTAATTAACATCTGGGATACATGTTTGAGAATCTGTCAGTTACTTTTGTTTAGGAGATGTTTATTTAGAAAAGAAAACCCATCTTGTTCTCCTTTAAGGTGGTTTTCTTTTTAGTCCAATGATGACTAAGATGTGGGTTTTTTTTTTTTCTGAGCTATTTATTCAGGATGTGCTTATCAAGAACTCCAAACAAATCATCAATGCAAGGTTAAAAAAAATGGTTATCTGCTATAGCCTAATGGGGAGTGAGAAATTACAAGTTACCTGTTAATACAGTGTTTATTCTTAGCTCCTAGCTCTTAGTTCATTTTGGTTTTTTTCATGCCTTTGCTTTTAGCTTGCTTTAAAATTTTTTGATGTCCAATGCTGGAGGTATCACAATTCCAGACTTCAAACTATATTACAGAGCCATAACAATAAAAACAGCATGGTACTGGCACAAAAAACAGACATGAAGACCAATAGAGTAGAAGACCCAGACATAAATCAACACAGCTACAGGCAACTGATATTTGACTAAGAGCCCAAAACACACAATGGAGAAAAAACATCCTTTTCCAAATGTTGTTGGGAAAACTGGATACCACATGTAGAAGACTGAAAGTAGATCCCTCTCACCCTGTTCCAATATAGACTCAAAGTGGATCAAAGACCTTAATATAAGTCCTGAAACTTTGAAACAGCTACAAAAAGTAGTAAGAAATACACTGGAACATATAGGCATAGGCAATGACATCCTAAACAGAACTCAAAAGGCTCAGCATCTAAGAGAAAGAATGAACAAATGGGTCTGCATCAAACCAAAGTTTCTGCACAGCAAAATAAACTAAAAAAAAAACACACTCAACCCCGAAGAATCAACATCCCAGTGAAGAAATGGCACATGAACTAAACAGGGAATTCTCAAAGGAAGAGGTACAAACGGCCAATAAATACATGAAGAAATGTTCAACTTCCTTGGCTATAAGGGAAATGCAAATCTAAATTACACGAAGATTTCATCTCACCCCAGTTAGAATGACCATCTTCAAGGGCAAAAACAACATGCTGGTAAGGATGAGGTGTAACAGGAACCCTTACGCTGTTGGTGAGAATGCAAATTAGTACAAACATTATCAAAAGCAGTATGGACATTTCCTCAAAAAGCTAAAGATAGAACTGCCAAATGATCCAATGATAACACTCCTGGACATCTATCCAAAGCAACATAAGTCAGGATACAATAGAGATACCTGTGCACCAATGTTTATCACAGCACCGTTCTCAATAGCCAAGCTATGGAAACTCAGGTGCCCTACAACTGATGAACTGATAAAGGTATATTGTATATATTCCACACAATGGAATTTTACTTAGCCATAAGGAAAAAAATGACACTGTGGTTTAAAAGTAAATGGATGCAATTGAAAGACATCATGTTAAGTGAAGTAAGCCAGGTTCAGAAAAATAAAGCCCATATTTTTTCTCTCATGTGGAAGATAGATCCAAAAAGGTAAACATGTACACAAAACAAACGTGATCATATACAAACCCATATGTAGAACGTGTTTGTGATAGAGGAACTACTCTATGGAACTCGGGGAGGGGGCAAAGGAAAACAGAATGATAGAGTGTCGACAATATCGTGATACGTAACATCTAAGTAGGTAGAGAATATAATGGTATGTAGTGAAAGCTGTTGAAAAATGGAGGGTGGGAAGTAAAGGGGTAAGGAAGAGCAATGAAAGGGCTTGAATGGACCAAGGTAAAGTATACTCCCCACAGGGATACATAGAGAAACCCCTTTGTTAGAAATTAATAACATAAGACAGTACTGTAATACAGGTACAGTGTGTGAGTGGGTACTTGGGGGGGGAAATGAAGGAGATTAAGGTGAGGGAATATGATTGATGGACTTCATATATAAAATAGAACAATGAAACCTCTTGAATTGCTTGAAATGGAGTGGAGAGGGAGCCACAGGGGAGAGATGGTGAGGGCCATCTAACCATGTATGATATAAGCCTATTGGAAATTGTCACAGTGAATCCCCCTTTGTCACAGTGAATCCCCTGTACAACAAATACATCCTAATAATTAGCCTGCTTCACAACATCTTAGATGTCTGAAAACTACTTAGCCTTCAGTTCTATCTTTCCTGTCATCTCAGTTTTTTTCAAATAACTAAAATGCACATATAAAACACATATATAGTTGATTTTAAAGACTGGCAACCATCAAAACAAGTGACAGTCATAATTGCAAGGCAAGCACAAGGGGACAATGGGTAATTTTCCCCGAAGTTTGTTACCTTTCTCCCTCCTCACTAGTGTCGCACTGTCTAGAACCACAGCCACTGTAGTGAACTTCAGAGAAACCAAAAACTCTGTTGTCAGCTCATACAGTTTATCAAGTGCTTAGGTACTAAAAAAAGTAATCATCTTTTGTGTTCTTAACCCAGTTCAAAGAAAAATGTAAGTGTGGTGTATTAATGGATATAAACAAACATATTGAAGAGGTGTGAGCAGATAAACTCTGTAGGACTTGGGAAGTGACTGGATCTGTGCAGTGTGACAGAGACATCAAAGGTTACTTCTCCAGTGGGCACAGAAGCATGAGCCTTAGACACAGCTGCTTGAAGGCTGAAGCAGGAGGCTCACCAGAGCCCAGGAGTTCAAGGCCAATCTGTAACATAGCAAGACCCTGCCTCTAAAAAAAAAATTGCTTCTCATGTTCCACCTTGTATGACGATTGTTCATGGGAACAGGAGGAGGACCAGGTTGGAGGAGGGTTTTGGAGCTTCAGTTTAGGACTTGTGGACAAACTGAGTTAGTTTGTAATACCATTTTGCCCTCTGGGTAGAAATGGGAGGTAACTATTTGATTAGCTAAGTGGGTCTGAAAATCTGAGCCAAGTGCTGGGTTAACACATCAGAACATAAATAAGAACAAGACAATCACTGCTAAAGAATACAACTGCTTTTCTTGGGCAAAGTTCCCACAATTTTAAACTATACCAAGGGAATCCTAGAGAAAAGGTAAAATATTATTGAGGTATTTAATGGAAAACGCCATAGCAA